CATAAGACCCAAAAATTATTCAAATAAAAATCAAAATTTGTATACACCTACTTTCTATAAAATACTAAATTCCACAATTAAAATAATAGACTTTCGTAAACAACCATTTATCACCCAATCCATATACTTTAATAATAATCATAATAATATTACATTATGATAAATAGTAACCCTTAGAGATCCCATGTCCTCATTAACCCAAATTAAATCAATTTCCAATCAAAACTTATTTATGCAAGAAATTTCCATAATAGAAGAACGAGGTACAATTAAACACAAACGTCCACTCATTTCCTAATAATTATAACCGAGCCCAAGGCTCACTTTCACAACCCACCAATCAAGTATCCCATGCTCATCTATTCCATAATTTCAATTATCAAAATAATATCCAAGAATTCCATAAGATACTATATATAAAAAATCTCATAGTCCCAACGTAATCAAAATAACTCAAATAACGGTAAATACTCGTTTACATGGTCGTTCTAGTACTTCTCAAAGGGTTAAACTACCTCGGTCGGAATATCCAACGCCACGTGTAGGTATAGTGACAAGGGAAGGTATATATGATGGTGAAGTTCGTAACCCTTATATAAATATTATACAAATAATATTCCATTCCTTAATTCAATTTTTTCAAATATCTATTCATAGTATAGAAAATAAACTCCCTAGCATATATTCCATAAAGACCCAAAAATAATTCAAATAAAAACCAAAATTTGTATACACCTACTTTCTATAAAATACTAAATTCCACAATTAAAATAATAGACTTTCGTAAACAACCATTTATCACCCAATCCATATACTTTAATAATAATCATAATAATATTACATTATGATAAATAATAACCCTTAGAGATCCCATATCCTCATTAACCCAAATTAAATCAATTTCCAATCAAAACTTATTTATGCAAGAAATTTCCATAATAGAAGAACAAGGTACACTTAAACACAAACGTCCACTCATTTCCTAATAATTATAACCGAGCCCAAGGCTCACTTTCACAACCCACCAATCAAGTATCCCATGCTCATCTATTCCATAATTTCAATTATCAAAATAATATCCAAGAATTCCATAAGATACTATATATAAAAAATCTCATAATCCCAACGTAATCAAAATAACTCAAATAACGGTAAATACTCGTTTACATGGTCGTTCTAGTACTTCTCAAAGGGTTAAACTACCTCGGAAGACTCACGGTCAACCGAGGGTCAAACTATCCAAACTTGGTCAATCGGGCCCGCTGGGCCCACAACCTCCAATTTTCGATCCGAAAGTTCCGACAGGTTCAACAATGTTTAATATACATGTCCTGCAAGTTTGGTTCGAATCTAACGGTCAGATCGCTTGGACGATCGGACGGTTATTGTTTAACGCAAACTTTAAGTCATTGAATCGAAGCATCCGGGACTCTGATTCACGATCCGCGAATTCTTACACAATCCTAGAGATGCCTAGATCAACATATATGAAAATGGATTCGATCCAGCAGTCCGAACATATCGAACCCGGATAACGCCCAATATGCGATATCCGACCAATAGTCAAACGATAACCAAATTCAAATCCGAGCATACCGTCATGCTCGGGATGACATGCGGGTCATTTTAGGACTCAATGGCCTGCCACAAAGTGGCCCACGCGCTGCCGGCATGTGGGTGCCCAACAATGTTTAATAAACATGTCCTGCAAGTTTGGTTCGAATCTAACGGTCAGATCGCTTGGACGATCGGACGGTTATTGTTTAACGCAAACTTTAAGTCATTGAATCGAAGCATCCGGGACTCTGATTCACGATCCGCGAATTCTTACACAATCCTAGAGATGCCTAGATCAACATATATGAAAATGGATTCGATCCAGCAGTCCGAACATATCGAACCCGGATAACGCCCAATATGCGATATCCGACCAATAGTCAAACGATAACCAAATTCAAATCCGAGCATACCGTCATGCTCGGGATGACATGCGGGTCATTTTAGGACTCAATGGCCTGCCACAAAGTGGCCCACGCGCTGCCGGCATGTGGGTGCCCAAAGTAATTCCGGCAATCGTAAAATCCTCAAACCGTCGGTCAAGTTCTATACCTACATTATCAAAACAATGAGTGGAGCAACTTTTGTTCTTGGACCATGGCCAAAAAGTGACCAGAACTTGCCGGAATCACGAGCCGAAAACTAGCCAAACTTTAAGCGATAATTTGAGTTTTAAAACGCAGAAATTCATCCTAATCAACCCAACCATCAGCTAGAACATATTGAGATGATGAAAAAGCATACCTAAATCGAAGAAGTTGGTGGCCAGAATCGCCGGAACGAGCGATGAAAACTTTACGTAAAAACCAGCGAATGGCAACGGCGGTTGAGGGATGGGGTAGGAAGAGGGAGTCGAGCTTGACATTTTGGTACTGGTCCCTCCAAAAATGGCGGCCGAACGTGACGATGGCGAGGCAAAAATCATCAGTGCTGTTTGGGGTGGGGGTCTATTTCGCACGGAGAGAGAGAGAGAGAGGAAATTCAGGTTTTTAAAAACCATTTTCGAAATATTTACGGTTATGCCACTAGACTTCCGTAGATCGTAACTTTTTCGCTACAACTCTGATTTGAGCCCACTACATGTCTATGAACTCATCTTGACGCAATCTATGTCATGGCGCCATTCAATTCCCCAAAATCCTTCTTGATTAAAAAGTGACCAAAATAACCCTACTCCGAGGGCAAAATTGTAATTTCATAATTTATTAAATAAAATAAATTAAATGAATATTTAAATTTTGGTCGGGATGTTACAGTTGTCTTCAGGTGAAGTGGCTGAGGCCAGGTTTGTATTTCTTGTTGCATGCGAACTCATCTCGACGCAATCTATGTCATGGTGCCATTCAATTCCCCAAAATCCTGCTTGATTAAAAAGTGACCAAAATAACCCTACTCCGAGGGCAAAATTGTAATTTCATAATTTATTAAATTAAATAAATTAAATGAATATTTAAATTTTGGTCGGGATGTTACAGTTGTCTTCAGGTGAAGTGGCTGAGGCCAGGTTTGTATTTCTTGTTGCATGGTGTTCTTCTCTGTTGTTTTACCTCTCAACATACCTTTCGATTCTTCGCCTGCCTAAAGGACTATGGTATTTCATAGGAGTTTTCCTTGCCAGTGTTCGGATGAGGTGGTGTGTTCCTTGAGGGCTTTTTCCTTTTTTTTTTCTTTTTATGGCATGTTTGTTGTGCTTTGTTTCTTCTATTGTGTTGCCTCTGTGCAAATTCTCTCTTTTCAGCTCCATTTGCAGAGTTTTGGTCTTGGTGGGTTTTGGATTTAGTTGGTGTGCTCTTTTGGGGTTTCTCTTTTGTCGACTCTGGAGTCTTTCTTGGTGTGCTCTCTATCGGGTGCTCTCACCACTCTGATGATGCATAAAGGACTATGATTTCATCATAGGATTCTTTTGTCAGCTGGGATGTGTTGATGCGCGCTCATAGAGGGTCTTTGTGTTGGGTTTCGTTTATTGTTTTCTTCGCATTCTATAGCGGTCCAAAGTGACCTGGTTATGACTCTTTTGTGAGTCCATAACATATGTGGTACTCTTTCTTCCTTTGGGGTTTATCCCATGTGGTTTCCTAGGAATGTTTTAACGAGGCCATTGTATCGTGTCGTCCTATGTACGCCTTTTGATTTATGAATGAATTCTTCTTCTTAAAAAAAAAACTTACACTTGTATGGTCTCTAGTTTATTGCCTTGTCTTGTGTGTTCAGATGGTTTCATCGCCTATATGTTCCCTAAAACCCTATATATATCCGCACTGTATTTCACTAATCCAAATGATGTATTTTTTAGATATTCATTCAAAGATCATCTTTACAAAAAATCACCTGAATCCGATATCATTTGATCCTTTAATTAAATTATTGAAATTTAAGTACTTTCTTGAAGCACCGTGTTCATTGATTTTGTTGGTCTCAATTAGATGCCTTAATGATTTTCAATTTGTCTGATTTTTTGCAAGGATAATCAATGAATGTAGACTTGAAAATAGATGGTTTGGATCGTTGAAAAAAAAAATCGTAGAGTACTCTAAAGGGTGAATGGGAGCAAATAGCCTTTCCGATCCTTATTTCTCAACGTTTCCAAATATGGGAATGAACATCCTTCATTCCAGTCTCATGGAATTAGACATGGAAAGTTCATTCCCAAAATGTTTAATCCGGAACCAAACAGGCCATTAGGATTTAGAAACTGAAAGATCTCTAAAAGAATCCCGAAGTTCTAATTCTTAACCAGAACAAGTTGTGCATTTCCTTTTTACTGCCCCTTCCATACCTGTTAATTAACAACATGATGTGTTGGTTGATCAAGATTCAGGATCGATCGATGAAGAAAACGGTTATGTCACTATGTGGGGAAGTCAACAGATGTGGATACATTGATATATAATTGAAAGAATTATTATTTGAGGGCACAGAAGATTCCTTCCATATGGTGGTAGGGCCTTTTAAAAAGGGAAGCTGATGCTGGCATGCTGTAAGAAGCCACCTCCTGGAAAGTGGAAAGGGCTCACTGCTTTGTCCCCCTCAATTTAAGCTCATATGTTGTGTGCACTACATACCCAGAACAAGTAACTCATGAATTGTTAATTTCTGCATTCCCAATCAAAACCCTTAAATAGCAAATGTTAGTGTATATTCTCACTCTCATAATTCATATACAATGTTAGTGACAAGGCCAACAAAAAATATATATTTGGACAAGTATTTTAGTCTGACCATGGTGTTTGTTTATTCCAAAAACATTCAAATAGAAAAAAGTAACCAATTCCCCACCATTTACATGAACACACAAGGAAAAATACTACTTTGGTTACTTTACTTTATTTACCATGAGGATTGGGGAATCTCCATCTCCCTATTAACACAAAGATACATAACAATAAATACAAAACTATATATATATATATATATAGCTTCTTCTTTTATTCTTTGCACGCGAGCTCTCTTTCTCTCTCTCTCTCTCTCTCACTAAAATTACAACCCATTGGTTTAAGATCACCTTAATTAATTGGGTCTGTGATTTCAAAATTCTCCACCTTAAAACACTGCCCTTACTGCAGATCATTCTTTTGCTGCAAACAAAGCCCACTTGATGCTTGATTGTACTTCCTGCCATACTATTGATCGAGAGTGACTGTGAGATAAGTTTTTGACTTGATAAAAGATAAAAAAAGAAAAACATTATCCTTTTTTTGTGTTGTAAATTTGCCTTTACAGTCATGTGTTGGGACAGTTTTGGGATTGACATTTTACGTCAACTGGATCTGAAAAATTAACAAACCCCCGTTATCCTGTCTCACTCATCATGACTCCACCATCTCCATTGATGACTCTTTGTAATTGGTCACTATCCCCATCTGTTCATCTTGATCATCATCATTGCTATGATCAAGATGATGGTCTTCTTCCTCCGTACTTTCTCCGTCTTCGTCTTCTTCATTTTTATTCCCATTTTCCCTTTCGATAGCTTCAACGACGGGCTGATCTGGATGGACCTTGATCAATGGCTGGATTTCTTGAGGAAGGGGTTTCTCCACATAACCAACATGACTAGAATTATTCATGTTCTTCTTTCTGTACAAGACCTCCAGCTGGTTAAAATATGGACATGTTTTTGAATCTTCAGGCCTTGTTTTGCTGCTCTCCTTCACCTTCTTGAAGTACTTATTGATGTTCTCCCACTTCTCTTTGCACCTCTTTGCACTCCTATTGTATCCAAGCCGCTTCATCCCAGCCGATATCTCCTCCCAAAGAGACCCTTTAGGCCCAGCTTCTTGGTACCTCACATCAAGACATGTCCTTAGATTTATCAAAGCCTCAACTTCAACTCTTGGCCATCTTGTAGACCCAGGAGGAATAATTGAATTGTCGCCGTTATCCAGTCTTGGAACCTCAAAACTTGTTGTGATCACCGCCACCGGAGCTGGAGGTGGTGGTCGCGTTAGTACTGGTAATGGCTGAGGCCGAGATGGTATTGTGCGGTTGACCTCAATCGCTTGAATATTATTCGTCACATTTTGTTGCCCCGAAACTTTTTGCAAGAATTCAATAACCGCGGCATCTTTTGCTGCTGCTGAAGATCTCTCTTGGGCTAAAATTTGATGTTCTTTATCCAATCTTGCCATCTCTTGCATTCTCCAAGCTTCTTCTCTCACCGTTCGTTCGTGCTCACATTTTGCTATAGCTTCTAAGAATTTCTCCTGCAGCTTCTCTTGCTTTTCTAGCACCTCCTTGGTCAGCCTTCTGAAGAAGTACTTCCACTTCCTCTTTTTCTTATGGCGCTGTTGAACTTGAAACTCTTCATCCGAGGCGGTAGACGAAGTAGAACTCGAAAACAGATTGCTTGTTGCCAAGCTTGGCTTGAAACCATTAAGGTTTTGATGAGAGAGATTCACAGGTTTTGTAACTTGTGGTGGCAAAGAATTTATTGGTGGGGGTGAGATGTGAGAGCCATTTGGAGAACCATTTGTTGTGGCCATCATGTTTGGTGTTGAGGAAAGAGGAACAATAGAAGTGATCACATGAGAGACTACAGTTGGGTTGTTTGGATGGTGGTGGTTGTTGGGCCACAAGAGTACTTGAGGTTTTGGTGGAACTGAAGGGTGATTGTTTTGATGATCAAAAGCTTCAAGTTCATCGAAAAATCGATAAGTTTTTCCTTCTTGTTTCCCAGATCGGCCTTCTTTGGTTCTCCTGTGGTACTTATAAACATTTTCGAATTTCTCCTTGCATTTCTTGGCACTTCGGTAATAACCAAGCTCACCTAGCTTCCTGCAGAGATTAATAATAAAAATTAGATTCCAAAAAGCTAATGAGCTGCTGTAATTTTATTTTTTATTAATCTTGTTGTTGTAAACTCAGTAACTAGGGAAGTTTTTACAAGAATGGACTCATTAAATAATTGAAGAAAAAAAACCAAGACAGGATAATGAAACAACAAAATTTGGTTCCATCCTTCATCCTTGAATTAAAAACACATACAAAATCATTCATCTCCATGTTGCATGCTACTGCTACGGTTAATATTAAAACCTTGACAACCCATGTTCATTGTTTGAATCATAATTCATATGCTTTTTCATTATCACTTAGTAAACAACTAACTCTAGGGTAAGAAAATAATTACCCTTCCAACATATGAAACTAAATTCGTCAGACTTAAAAAAAAAAGGCACCCCGTTTAAGCCCAAAACTAACAGGCAAAGCAAAGTAGCTAGATCGCTTGCAAAAGTATGAACTTCTTACGGATCAAAACCTACAAAAATTTGTGAAAGCTTGTAGCTCCGGTGATTAAGCGCATTTACTCAATCTGTAAGTAGCTAACCGAAAAACATAAACAAAATTTACCAAAAAGATGAACCGAAAACAAGTAAACAAAACAAAAGAAGAAGAAGAAGAAGAAGAGCATGAAGATCGACCTGAGATGCATAGAGTTAAACCTAGACTAACTACGTAGCTTTCACTTTTTTGGATCAAGACAGCAAGAGAAATTAAATTCACCTTGAAACATCTTCCCATAATGGAGCTTTGAGACTAGAGTCACGAAAAGCAGCATCCATTTGCGACCGTATCTTCAACAGCGCCAAGGTTTCTTGGCGAGGCCATCGGTTTCCTCCATATAAATTCCGGTCCCCCGGATCATCAACTCTGCCGTCCTTGTCTTCTTGGACTGAATTTGACAAAACGGCAGTCGTTTCATGACTGCCTTCACGAACTACCCCAGCCACGCCTTCCCCGCTGGAGCTCCCTGCCGCCAGCATAGTCGATGAGCTGTCAGGCACAGGCACATCAACTGCAGGCATCTCCTTGCCGCAATTAAAGTTGAGAAATATATGACAAGAAAAAAGTGAATTCTCTCTCGGGTTTTATGAAGGTGGGATTATATATCTATGTTTTATTTTGGAATTAATTAACTTATTTTGGTGGGTTTTTGCCTGTCATTCTCAATAACCCATTTCTTGTCTCAATTAAAAATTATGAAACTTTAGTTGTACACATAGGCTATGGAATCTTCAGTCATTTTTTTTGGTTGTTGTTGGTTAAAAATGTACATCACACACTCACTCGGTTCCCTTGCAGACATGTTCTTAGTAATAATAGGAGTGCCAGCAAGATATAAACTAAAATACATTTTAAATAATAATAAAAAATACCAAAATGTTTTACTATTGTAAATTAGTTTTCTTATTACGGTCATAAGAATCAATTTTATAAATAATTTAAATTTTTATATCGGCACCATAACATATCAGACTGTTAAAAATATTCGTATCTTTACTTATTATACATTTAATAAATAAATAAAAATCAAAATTGTGTTACTATTGTATATTAGTTTTCTTATTGCGGTCATATGAATCAACCTTATAAATAATTTAAATTCTTATATCGGCAACCTAACATGTCAGACTGTTAAAAATATTCATATGATTATACAATAATATTTGTATTTACTGTTCATATAATTTGATCATTTATCACAGGGGAGTGGCAACAGCTGCAGATAGCGATGAGGATAATAAGTTGGCCCATTGTAGGTCAGCTTTGCCATTGGCTCTTGGGTTGGTGTTTTGGATTTCAGTGGTCGTTGTGTGCACTCGTAGGTGAAATGACTGAACTACCCTCACCCATCAACATGGAACCCATTGACCTTTAATCATGCAGGCTAATACACAGGCACTATTCTATTGGGGAAATGACCTAATCAATTCCGTGAGATTGTCTCTGTAATTCAGATTTTTTTATTAATTGGGTACTTCTCATAATGCCCAAATTGCCCTTCATTAAGAAAATTAATCAACCACCCCTGAGTTTTTTTTTTCCAACTTTTGGACGAAACTTTGGCGCTCGTGAGGCCACGTGGGCAAGGGGGCCAGGCAGAAGTTGGCCATTGAAAATCTTTTAATTTTTTTTTATTTTTGTACCAAGTCATCCAAAAATAATGTTCATAAACTTATCTTAAAGATGATTTTTTTCTAAATTCAAGGCAATTCCAATTTAATTGGCTAGGCCAAGACATTTATGAGAGGAGGAATTGACCTATTGGGTTAGGTTGCGACCCACCACACATAATTATTGGGATGGAAATTTTGGTATTTGAATTTTGGGGACCATGTTTGATATATTATTAGGTCATGATGACAGTTTTTCTGAGTGGTTAGTTAAATGTTTACAGTCAGTGAGGAAGATGGAAAACATGAACATCCCCTTCTTCTGTCACAAAATGGCTGAGTTTTACAGTTTTAATTAACTTTGCATTCAAGGGGCTTCAGTAAATCCAACGTACACTTGCTATGTTAATTCAACGACTTGGATGCCGTTTATTTAAAGGCTTTGTTTGAATTGAGGTATTTTAAAGAAATTATTTCGATTTGACAATAAAATTAAATATGCAAAGAGAAATTAGAAAACATTAGATTTTATTGTTTTTTCTAAACACGGATATAAGATTATTGAGAAAGAGGAAAATAATATATGATCCGATTAAAACTAAGAAGATTAGGTGAGCACTTCTACACATAATCCTCAATAAGAAATCAACAATTAAATAATGAGGTTCCCAAACCATGACCTAACCATCCCAATTTTCAAGGCTAGTTTTGCAACACGATGTGCTACTTGATTGGCACTGTGAAGGATATTGGTAAAACCTCCTTCGGTGATCCTAGTCAGCAAAAACTTACTATGTTTCACCACTAGTCTTATTGGAGGTATGTATGTAATTGAAATGATTAGATGTAGTTTGAAACGGCATCAATAAGTGACTTATAATCTGAATTTTTTTTTTTTTTTTTGGTTGAGAAAAAGCGATAATATTTATTGATGAAACATATCAGAGTACAAAGCCCCAAAAGAGCCAAAATGGGTACAACATCTCTAATGACCAAACACAACAACATGTTGATTTGATCCGGAGAGATTTACCAACAAATATTCAACCCCCTGATTGAGCATCTCTAAGGACTTGTACTCAGACTAACAATACATCTCCATCGCGCAACGACAAATCTGTATTGCAGCCGAAAATTAGAATACAAAACATAGCAAACTCCTAAAGAGTTCTGGAGAATTAAAATAAAAAAATACAACAAACTCCTAATGAGTAATAGACTTAAAACAAGAAACAGGAACACCGCTCCACATCCTCTCCGGCAACCAAAGACATCCATAATGTCATACCGGCTAAACCCCAACCCACACAAACAGGTAACTTTCACTACTGTAACTCCAAACACTGAACTGTAGCAAAACCCTATATATGTGGGCCAAAAGCAGCAACTAAATCATGGCGACAATGGTGTTTCGCGGTGTCTGCTTCCACAACACATACGAACCAGCATAACAACTGTGACTACCTCTATCCACGTCGATTCCACCGCCTCCGTGAGGATAGATAACACTGAAATTAACACTTAGGTGACAAGGGGTAAATTAAATGACACTCAAACAAAACCACAACAAACTTCACACACTTTAGACCTTGACCAATACTCTTATGACTAGTTAATTGTCAGACATGAATAATCACAACCAAGAACATACACAGAGCATATCAATATGTACTTGCAAGCCTAGAAAATTATTAGTGACAACCTAGGCACTCAGAAGGACCAGTCAATCTAGGCATCCTCTGTGCTAGCAACAACTATGGTGAAAGTGTGTGAAAGCATCATAATCAAGTAAGCATCAGACAGCATAAAATGATGACTAGTCAACCGCAAGAACACAAACCCAAAAATACATGTGATGACTAGTCAACTGTCAAGAACACAAACCCAAAAAATTTAAAAGATGCAAATCAGAAATTTGTTCACCCAGAAACTGACCATTGGGAAAAACTGGGGGTCATCAACCGACCAGGCAATTCACTAAGCAAAAAGATTCTTACAAGGAAACACTAGCAAGCTCAACAAATCCTAGGTCTATTTAGGAAGATGAGCTATACCTTTCCTTGTGCAATCTTCTTCTCTAGCTTAGCAAAACCAGCAGCTTGGTCCTTCATGACAATGACAACTCCTTCTTCACCTCATTCATCCCATGGCACCAGCTAGCTAGCTCCAACTCAGACAAAAACGAAATTTGGATTCAAAGAGAAGATGACCAATATCTTCAAGAAACCATACTCTTGAAGAAATCAATCTTGAATCTAACCTAGATATATATGAGAGAGTGTTTGATCTAGCAAGATAAGGTTTTCATATTTCAAATGCAGTTTTCAGAAAGAAACAATTTGGAAAACTCAAGGATGAAAAATATGAAGGTTACTCTTGAGGAAGAAGCGAAAGTTTGCAAAGAAACTTTCCAAAACTTGCCTTCCAAAGTCACAGTTGCCAAATGAGGAATACACAAGTTTTTACACTAAAATTCCTAAGTTAGAATCGTACAAGGCAGCAAAGGATTTCGCACAATAGGACAAAAACAAATGGGTAGGTCCAGCTGGAAACAGTGAGCTGGAAATCCTAACATTACAAAAGTTGACTAGTTATACGAAGGAAAGATGACTAGTCATAATTTTCAGGAATTTAGTTAATGCAATGCAAAACTTACCTTTATCAAACACATTGTTGTCTATCATAATGCAGCCAGTTAAGAACACCTAGAGATGTAATTCTTAATCTAAACTAGAGCTTGAGAAAATACAATGATTGTCCTATTACAAAATTATTTAGGGAAGCCAAAAGTAAATCACAAAATGCTTACAAGCACCACCAGTAACTCTTATTACAGCTAAGCAAAAAACACCCAAATCAAAAAAAAAAAAACATGCAACCATAAACAACAAAACAAAAAAAAAATCAAGATCCAGGGAAAAGGAAAGGGAAGGAAAGTGGAGAAGAAAAAAAAAGGGAATACAGAAAGAGAGGGGTTGAGAGGAAAGAGAGAGGAGGAAGATAGGGACGAAATGGAGAGTTAGGGAAGGAGAGACAGATGCCACCTAACCCCCACCCGGTGCGGCAATGAAGGGTGGGGGGCAACAATTTTCTTTTTAATGTACAGTAATGTATACCTTTTTAATATCTAGTAATCTTTCTCTATCTCATGTTAAAAAAGAATCTAACAAAAAAAAAACCCATCAAGACAATGCTTTGAGAGAGGGATACGATTGTTTTTACAATTTTGCTATCAACCAAGCAACTCAATTATTTGTTTTGTACATATTAAAAAAGAAAGTAAAACAAAACTCAATTATTGGAAAGAAATGAAATGGGCAAGCAGACATTATGCAAGGTAGTGGGTCCAAAGTCACCCAACCAATCAATTACATATTAAATGTTTGAATCACAATGTAAACCCCATCGCTTGTTTAGCTGGAGCCTCGATGTTAGCTTAATTATACAGGTATAAAATTTTCCATTTTAGCTGAAAAATATCATCTATTTAGTTATCAAATTTGGGGAATTTAAAGCAAGATTAATGATATTGATAAAATAGAATACAAGGGTTACATTAGAGAAATCGTGAGAAAGAGGATGTGGAGAGAAATGAGGTAGGATGTGGAGAGAAGAGGATGGGAACTGTTCGATGGACTCACATCCTCTCCGGATCAATCAATCCCGGTCGTTCTCCGGTAGTAAATGGGATGGGGGTTACATAATTATGATGATTGGACTAGTCATTACATTACAGTTTGTTTTTTATTTTTTAACAAGCAACAGCGCCAAAAATTGCTTGCTAAACCCAAGTGCAGGTGTTGCATAATGGTAAATCTCGGACGTTGAGTATTGTATCCATAGAAAGAGGTATGAAAGTACAAAAATTTGTAAAATAACTATAACAAGAAGAATAAGATTAAACGAGTAGAAGAAAAATCAATAATAATTAACACTAAGACGTTGGAGTTCCACCTTCAAAATACATATGTCATCCCATTAGTTTGACT